CTGACCAAAATGGTCATTGGGAAAAAATTTACTCGTACCTTGTATTTACACCAAGCATATGAATGCAAGACATGTATTTAGTACTATGGTTAAAATTCTTTATTTTTCTGTAAATATAAGGTGTAAGTGGCAGCAAATATCTCAAGTATAACACATAATCATGGATAATTTCTTTTTAAAGAGAGTTAGTAGTAGATTAGTTTAATATTTTAAATTTTTCATATGCTCTAAGGTAATCTGGGTATGTTGTTGCTTTGACTAACAGCAAATCCCAATGTTAGAATTTACATTGAAATTTTAACTACATATTTTTGCTTAATGAAATATTAGGTGATTTATTTCCATCTGTTCTTAACTCTTAGTCTTGATAGATAGAGTTACGTGATACTTGTTGTTGGTGGGAGGTAATAGGTATTCCGTGGAATGAACATTTGAACTTGTAATCCAGGAAGTTAATGTATGAACTGTGAGATAAATCAAACTCCGTACTTTCAAGTACTTGACAATCCATAGGTAGAACTACATTTTCTTATCCTCAAGTGTACTCGAGAGCTTGATTTGTACAATGCATTTATGCTTTAATACATTACTTGTTTGATAAAATGTCCGAAAGTTGGAAATGGATGGGTTGTTTACATATAGAAGTTAGCTGGACACACGAATAATTTTCGAGAAATTTTGATGGATATGAATAGCATGTTTTGTTTGCATAGATCAATGGAGGCAGTGGTTTATGCATTAATGTTCCCCTGTTGTGCATATTAATTCTATTTGTTCAGTTCCAACATATAGCCATGTTTACAGTGGTATAGGAGGCCTCTCCTTACACGTAACAACATCGTCCAATACGTTACTTTGGGGCTCAATTTTGCAATGACTCTAAAAGGATAGGCACAATTGATTTGTCTGTACGCAATTGGTCAGTTGATGACTAGAAACTTGTAACTGCTAGAGCAAAGGTTCCCTAGACTACACAAAAATTGTATCTGATACTTTCTGCACAAAAATTGTAAGATCATTCATTCTGTAGATACTTGTACAGAATGTGGTAAATTCTAAGGTAATTATATTAGTAGTTATGGCGGAGATCATTTTTATTGTGCGGCTAATCAAACATTGTATTATATTATACTAAAGGGTGTTGCATATGTAATAACTTTTGTGAGAGTGTTGATATTAGAATCATGACAGATTGACAATAATGACTTAACACATATCTAATGAAAATACCAAAATTCAGACTTCCACTTGTACTGACTCTGACATTACAACTTTCGCTTCACCACTTGTACTGACTCTTGACATTACAACTTTAGATGCAGGAGTTTATCCATAATTAAGGCTTCCATTCATTCTAGTTCTGAGATTACCGTCAACTCTTGCGTAGAAGGACCTACATGGGTGGTGTTTCTTGTTGTAAAAGGAGAAGGAACAGTTAGGTTACTCCCATCTCCTTCTAGCATTTGAGTTACAACTTTGATGGATGGCCGATCTATCGCATTCCATTGGATGCACCAAACTCCTATAACAGCCAATTTCCTTACAATTATAACATCATCATCTTCATCAATCCTGATTTTCAACTCTTCTCCTTGATTCAGCCGCTGATGAATCCACTCGGGAAAGTTCATTTGGCTAGTATCCACCTTTGCATCAAAATTCTTCCTCCCTCCAACCATTTCAAGAAGCAGCATTCCAAAGCTATAAACATCAGATTTGTGAGACGCTTTTCCGAAATTGCTTGATATCACTTCTGGTGCAATATAACCCATGGTTCCTCTAGCTTCAGTCATTGTGACAACACTTTTCTCTTTAGAGCATAACTTAGCAAGACCAAAATCAGAGATCTTGGGGTTCAGGTCTAACAGAATATTTTTTGGCTTGATATCGAAATGAAGGATTTGTTGGTCACATCATTGATGAAGATACTCTAGCCCTTTTGCTATTCCCATAGCAATATCATGAAGCTTCTTCCAAGTAAGGGTGATATTATCTTTGAAACTTTTCGGAAAAATGAGCTTGTCAAGTGACTGATTTGGCAAGTATTCAAACACTAGAGCTCTTCTAACTCCATCAGCACAGAAGCCAACTAGGCAAACCACGTTGACATGATGGATATTCCCCATTGCTGCAACTTCATTAATAAATTCTTCCCCATTTCCTTCAGAATCATTGAGAATTTTTACAGCAACATGAATTTCATTCGAAAGTGTTCCTTTATAAACGATCCCGTAAGCTCCCTCTCCCATTATTTCCTGAAACTGATTTGTTATCTTTTTAATATCTGCATAAATATATCTAGTCGGTCTGCGATCTCTATAGTCTTCCAAAAACTTTTCAACTCTGGCTTGATTCTCTCTTTCAATTTTGCTTGAGCTATAATACTCATAGAGTGCCATCATAATAATTCCAAAAAGAATGAGACCTATAACTCCACCTGGAACATGTGATCTCACAAATTATCCATAAGGCAATTAAAAGTATGTTCAACAACAACATTATAACCAGTGAAATCCCACAAAGTGGTAAAGTAATTCATATAGAAAAATTAATTTATAAAAAAGCAAAATTTTATATCTAAAATTAATATTATAGAAATATTACATAAAAAATAATTAAATATACAAGAGATTTAATTAAAATATACAATTTATTTAATGTTTAATTAAAAGTTTGTATAATGAAATAATATTAAAATACTCCCTCTGTCCCAATTTATGAAGCACTTTTCGTTTTTCGAGAGTCAAACAGTTTAAGTTTGACCAAAATTTTTTTGAAATGAAATTTATATATTTGTAAACTACGTAAAAAGTATTGTAAGTCACAATAATTGATAATTCAAAATGTTTAAAAGATCTATAAAAATTTTAAGGTCAAAGTTAGACTTGTTTGAATCTCGAAATCCAAAAAGTGTCACATAAAATGGGACGGAAGGAGTATTCAAAAAGTGAATTGGTGTGATGAATAGTGTTACACCAAATTTGGTGTGGGTTGGTGCTCAAAACACCAAATTTGGGATTTGGTGTAAAATTTGGTGTTGGGTTGGAGATGGTCTAACTAGTATTTAATGACTTGATGGACTTACCGGACTTGATGAAGACTTGCCATTGTTCTTTTAGGATTTAATGACTTAATTGGTTTGGCACCAGTAGGGAAGAGGGAAATACCCTAATAAAAATATAATGTCTGTAGTAACCAAGTTTCTTCTTACAATTCTCATATTCATGTACCTCTCAGAAACCCCATTAGCAGAACAAAGACATCAGTGTGTTCCTTCTAGTTGTGGGCATATTCATAACATCAGTTATCCCTTTCGATTGAAAAGTGATCCAAAGCACTGTGGCCTTGAAAATTATGAATTGAGCTGTGAAGGAGATCGCGCCATAATCACAATACCGACATATCATGATTGGTATGGATCACTGAACTACTATGTTCAAGCCATCAATTACGACAACTCCACCATCCGCCTTACAGATGCTGGTATAAGAGAACAAGTTATTTGCTCTCTTCCTCAGAATTCGATTTCAGTTTACACTTCCCTTTTTATTTTGTTTCTTTTATAGAATTAATGCCTGGTTTTGTTAAGTTAACAGTACCAATCACTCTCTTCAGCTGTCCATTTGCCATAAATTCTCCAGTCTTTGTGGAAATCACTAATTGTCTCAACAGGAGTTATGCTTCCAATGTTTCTTCTGATTCATTTAAGGGACACACATATGCAACCATGACTAAATTATCACCATCCGATTTGAAAGTCGGGTGTAGTGTAGACCTCATGTCAATGACTTCATGGCCTATTCAGGATGCATATGCCAACATTTCTATTTTAAGTTTGCATAATGCTTTGGCATATGGATTTGAGCTTTCATGGTTTCCTAACATTCATTGTGGCAAGTGCGCCAACTCAATGATATGTGAAGGGAAAAATTCAAGTGATGTTCATTGTTTGGATTACAGCTGCAAAACTTACAATTTTAGATTCTTCAAATCGTCGTGTGGTAAGAACATTCCTAATGTCATGCTTAGACACTTTTATTAGCATTTTTTTCTGTGCATGTTTTAATGTTTTTTTCTTTTTCCGGGTCGGTATTTTTTCTTTGGATGACCACAATCAAGCTTACTATTCCCACGTTCTTGATAGTAAGCAGTCGTACTTCTATTGTCAATTCTGTTTTATATAACGGTAACTAGTTGCAAGTTAGATTAACTGAGTTATTGATTGTTGGTGTTTTTGCAGCAATCATCCCATGGATACTTCCCATAGCTGGTAAGTCACATCTTTCGTCTTTCAAATTTATTACTAGAAATCATTCTAATGTCGAAATGGAGCAGACGTTGGTGGTTGAATTTTTTAATTTAACCATTCACAAACTTTTCTTGCTTATTTGTGATGGTTGTACACAGGGCTTAGCATTGTGCCAAGAATCGTTCTATTTCCATGCATAGTTGTATTTCTAATGATTAAGTTACGAAGAAGGCATTTGTCGATTTATGATGCAATTGAAAGTTTCCTGCACGGTGAGAACAATTTCGCGCCCATTAGATATTCCAACTCCAACATAAGAAAGATGACTAGGAACTTTAAAGAGAAACCCCATTAGCAGAACAAAGAAATCAGTGTGTCCCTTTTAGTTGTGGGGATATTCATAACATCAATTTTCCCTTTCGATTGAAAAGTGATCCAAAGCACTGTGGCCTTAAAAATTATGAATTGAGCTGTGAAGGAGATCGCGCCATAATCACAATACTGCCACGTGATTGGAATGAATCACTGAACTACTATGTTCAAGCCATCAATTACGATAACTCCACTATCCGCCTTGTAGATCCTGGTATAAGAGAACAAGTTATTTGCTCTCTTCCTCAGAATTCGATTTCGGTTTACACTTCCCTTTCTGGTTTTGATTCTTCTATAAAATCAATGCCTGGTTTTGTTAAGTTAACAGTACCAATCACTCTCTTCAGCTGTCCATTTGCCTTAAATTCTCCAGTCTTTGTGGAAATCACTAATTGTCTCAACAGGAGTTATGCTTCCAATGTTTCTTCTGATTCATTTAAGGGACACACATATGCAACCATGACTGAATTATCACCATCCGATTTGAAAGTCGGGTGTAGTGTAGACCTCATGTCAATGACTTCATGGCATATTCAGGATGCAAATGCTAATATTTCTATTTTGAGTTTGCATAACTCTTTGGCATATGGATTTGACCTTTCATCTCCTTCTAGCATTTGAGTTACAACTTTGATGGATGGCCGATCTATCGCATTCCATTGGATGCACCAAACTCCTATAACAGCCAATTTCCTTACAATTATAACATCATCATCTTCCTCAATCCTGATTTTCAACTCTTCTCCTTGATTCAGCCGCTCATGAATCCACTCGGGAAAGTTCATTTGGCTAGTATCCGCCTTTGCATCAAAATTCTTCCTCCCTCCAACCATTTCAAGAAGCAGCATTCCAAAGCTTTAAACATCAGATTTATGAGACGCTGTTCCGAAATTGCTTGACAACACTTCTGGTGCAATATAACCCATGGTTCCTCTAGCTTCAGTCATAGAGATAACACTTTTCTCTTTAGAGCATAACTTGGCAAGACCAAAATCAGAGATCTTTGGGTTCAAGTTATGGTCTAACAGAATATTTTTGAGGCTTGATATCGAAATGAAGGATTTGTTGGTCACATCCTTGATGAAGATACTCTAGCCCTTTTGCTATTCCCATAGCAATATCATGAAGCTTCTTCCAAGTAAGGGTGATATTATCTTTGAAACTTGTCGGAAAAATGAGCTTGTCAAGTGACTGATTTGGCAAGTATTCAAACACTAGAGCTCTTCTAACTCCATCAGCACAGAAGCCAACTAGGCGAACCACGTTGACATGATGGATTTTCCCCATTGCTGCAACTTCATTAATAAATTCTTCCCCATTTCCTTCAGAATCATTGAGAATTTTTACAGCAACGTGAATTTCATTCGAAAGTGTTCCTTTATAAACGATCCCGTAAGCTCCCTCTCCCAATATTTCCTGAAACTGATTTGTTATCTTTTTAATATCTGCATAAGTATATCTAGTCGGTCTGCGATCTCTATAGTCTTCCAAAAACTTTTCAACTCTGGCTTGATTCTCTCTTTCAATTTTGCTTGAGCTATAACACTCATAGAATGCCATCATAATAATTCCCAAAAGAATGAGACCTATAACTCCACCTGGAATATGTTCTCTCACAAATTATCAGAAGGCAATCAAAAGTATGTAAGGGAGAAAAATTAATACCAAAACTCACAAGAGTACATACCTGCAATCAGTGGTTTCTTTCCGCCGCCTGTCAGAATTAAATCAATTTTTTGTTATGGAATAGAGAAGTACATGATCATGGCATTAAAGATAGGTTTGTCAATACCTTTTGTAGTGAATGGTCGGTCGAAACACTGAGTAGTCAGTTGTTTAGTATAGTTCTTGAAGCCACAATCCTTTTCAAGACCTTCACAGTAGCTACAGTTTGTATTAAGCCAACTGAGTCTTATCACACTGTAAGTCGTCATACCGTATGATGGAATTTCATGAATCTTTATGCAAGTTGTATGGGGGAGTGAATATAAAGAGTAGGAAACAGCAAATAGTGTTTTGTCAGAGGCACAATCTGAATAGTAGTTCCGATAATATGCTGGCATACCAGAACATTTGAAAATTGAAATGTTTTCTAGTGTAAGATAAGGCTCGGCAACAGTGAAGGAGAAAGGAGATTCTGATAAATTAAGGTGCAATAGCTTGAGAATGAGACAACGTTCAGGATCAGAAAGCCTAATCTGCTGAGACATATAATCAATTTCTTCAACAATTAGTGTAAGTGAATTGGGAAGTATGAGTATGGTTCGGTTTTTGAGGTCACAAGATAACTCAAAGCCTGGATAGCCACAATATTCTGGCTGGTGGTGAAGCCTGAAGGGAAAATGAATTCTAGGGCCATGTCTTCCACACCTGGAGACACTGCAATTATATGCTCCTTCACCATCCATAGCCAACAATACTATGATGATGAGAAATAAGTGCAAGAGGAAAAAGATGGTCATCTCGACTGACACGGCTTATAGACTCCTATGACGCGAGCTTCTCTAATACCAAGTTTATTACTCCCCAAACCTGGTGAGGTAGCAGCTAATTTGTTTTATCAATTGAAGCTCTAGATATGTGATTACTCTCAGTGTGGAGTTCTCTTTCATTTAATGTTTTGATTTTTCCACTCTTTTATCAAGAAAAGTCTTGTGCCTCCAAGATTGACTATGAGAGACGTGTTGAATAAGTAGACACTTAAATTTTATAAAATTGAATAAGTAGTCACATGCATCCTACGTGGCATAATACATGTAGGATGTCACATATGATGCAAATTGTCACGTAAAACACCAAGTAGTATGTGTGTGGTTACTTGTTCAACTCTATTACAAGCTTAAGTGTTTACTTGTGTACACCAAAGTTGGAGGGCATAGATGTCAGATGAACCCAAGTTAAAGAACATGTTTATGTATGTATTATATATGCCTTTCTTTTAAGGGCATCTCCAACCCAAACACCAAATTTGGTGTCAGCACTATTTTTTGTGTAATCAACTCCAACACTACATCAAATTTTACACCAAAAAGGAATATATTTCTCTCTCTTCATTATTATTATATTATTTCTTATTTCATTTATATTTTCTTATTTCATAAAACAAATTCTTTCTAAAACATTCACCATATATAATTCATATTATTTCCTTTTATAATCATTTAATATAAAATTATTTTGTACCATAATTTTTTAAATAATATAAATTGCTAGCAAATATTATACATTATACATAATAATGGATAATACAAATAAAAGTGAAATCATTAATGAAATACAATTAAATAAACATTACATAATTGAAAAAAATATTTTAAATTCTACATAAATATTCAACTTTCAAGATCACTACGGTGCTCCCATAAATGCTCTATTAATGCATTACGTAGTTCAAAATGAGCTTTTTTGTCCTTTATTTTTTTATATCGAGCTAGAAATTGTTGAAATTGATAATTTTTGTGAATGTTAATTGTAGTTATATCCAATTATAATTCATAGTAGAATTAACATAAATTTTTTTTTAAAAAAAAGTCATATATAGAAAAATTAATTTATAAAAAAGCTAAATTTTATATCTAAAATTAATATTATAGAAATATTACATAAAAAATAATTAAATATACAAGAGATTTAATTAAAACATACAATTTATATAATGTTTAATTAAAAGTTTGTATAATAATAATATTAAAATATTCAAAAAGTGAATTGGTGTGATGAATAGTGTTACACCAAATTTGGTGTAAAAATTGGTGTGGGTTGCTATTCAAAACACCAAATTTGGAATTTGGTGTTGGGTTGGAGATGGTCCAAGTAGTATTTAATGACTTCATGGTTTGGCACCAGTAGGGAAGAGGGAAATACCCTAATAAAAATAGGTAAAATTAGCAATTAAGTCATAATACCTAACATAATTAGTCAAAATAACAACACTTTAAAATATTTATTTAAAATGGCAGAATGACAATATTTTTATAAAATAATATGTATTCAGATTTTAGTATTTAAAATTAATTTTATTTATGGAAAGAGTCCTATATTGGACCAAACTATATATCAATAACCGTTTAAAGAAAAAAAATTTAAACCAATACACATTAACCTTTTTTCAACTCCATTCAACGTTTCTTCCCCACCTTTCACGTTTCAAGTTTATCTTTCTTCAAAGGTGCTAAATTGTTGTTCATCAAGAAATCTTCTTTATTGTTAAAATGAAATCTATTTATTAATTCAAGCAGATTTCTCGATTGGCACGGTAATTTTCATTATCCATTTTGATTTATTTTGATTTGATGTTTAAATCACCGATTCTATATATTACGGATTTCCAAACGAATTTTTCAATTTTTATGTGATTTTGTTTAGTTATTCATCAAATAGTTATGATTTTCAATTTTTTCAATTTTTTTTGTGATTTTCTTTTAATTTTTCAGATTTTGGAGAATCTAGAAATTCATATGTATGTTTATTTTGTTTGATATTTAATACATTCTAATTTTTGATAATTTCGAAATTCAAATTATCAAAAAAAAATTTTTCATATTTGAGATTTAGTAGATTGTAGTAACTACATTAGCACACACACATCATATATTGTTTGATTTTTTTATACATTCATATTTAATAATTTCGAATTTTGCTTATAGGGTTACTAATGCACAAGTGAATACGGATTCAGATTCGGTTTTGATGAAAAAAAATTGAAAAAAGAACATAGTATATGAAGAAGAAGAAGAAAGACAAAGTCAAATAAGAAGGTTACAAAATTGTATTCATACCACAATTGTATTCATAATAATTTTTGTTTGTCAATTGTTTTTCTTTTACTCATCATTTGTATTTTTACTTTAAAATATTGTATTTCTGTTTTAGTTTGTAGTAATTTAAATAGGTATATAATGTATTCGTCACAATTCTATATATTATGATTGAATACATAATTTATAGAATTGTGACGAATACATTATAAGAAGGGAAATGGAAACTTATTGGTATTCATTTTTTCGTTTGAAATACAAAATCATACTGAAATACAACTTGATATTTGAAATACAAACTTAGTAAGCCATATTTTGTATTTTATTTTGCTAAAGCAATATAATTTTATGAATACATAATATATAAAATTGCAAATTGCGACAAATACATCATAAGAAGGGGAATACAAAATTATTGATATTCATTATGTGTTTGATATACAAAATGATATTGAAATACAACCTGATATTTGAAATACAAACTTAGTAAGACATATTTTGTATTTTATTTGGCTAAAGCAATATAATTTTATGAATACATAATATATAAAATTGTGCGACGAATACATCACATGAAGGGGAATACAAAATTATTGGTATTCATTTTGCGTTTGATATACAAAATGATATTGAAATACAACCTGATATTTGAAATAAAAACTAAGCTAGAAAATACTTTCTGCAAATTTAAAGTGAAATAATAATATAACAAAATTGGATATTGAAATATAAATACAATTTATTTTGAATAAACTTATTCTATGTATTATATATGTATTCATTGCAACTGTATTTTTCAATATCATTTCGATCTACAACTAATTTGTATTTATATTTTGGTATATACTACACAACTGCCTTTATTTTTGTACTTGAACTAGAATGCCAAAGAGTTGTATTCATCATAAATCAATACCAATATTTTTTGTATTTTAAATTAGTAATACATATCATTAGGTATTCGAATACATTTCGGATGAACACATATTCAAAGAAGTTCAAACATTTAAATATCCAAAACAGAGGGCATTAGAAATTTTCCAACACTTCCACTCATATAAGATATAAAATACAAACTACTGTTTTCAAAAAAAAAATTGAAATTCTTAAGAACAAAGAAAAAACTGCTAGAAAGAAAAATGGCAACATATGCTCTTTCAAAAACGTAACTGATGTTAAATTTTAATTTTTTTTTACCTTTTTTGAAATTTTTTGTTCCATGATTTTCTCTATTCAGTTATTAATTATTTGTATTCTTTCAAATTAATCAAAATAAAATAAATACATAACTCAATCCTTAACAAATTAAAATATTGACATTTTAAATAAATAGTGAAACTATTGCTAAGGAGTCTCATTAAAAGCTAAAATATTGCTATTTTGAAAATTTTCCCATAAAAATATAATGTCTGTAGTAACCAAGTTTCTTCTTACAATCCTCATATTCATGTACCTCTCAGAAACCCCATTAGCAGAACAAAGACAGCAGTGTGTTCCTTCTAGTTGTGGGCATATTCATAACATCAGTTATCCCTTTCGATTGAAAAGTGATCCAAAGCACTGCGGCCTTGAAAATTATGAATTGAGCTGTGAAGGAAATCGCGCCATATTAACAATACTGCTAAATGATTGGAATGGATCACTGAACTACTATGTTCAAGCCATCAATTACGATAACTCCACTATCCGCCTTGTAGATCCTGGTATAAGAGAACAAGTTATTTGCTCTCTTCCTCAGAATTCGATTACGATTTACCCTACCCTTGTTGGTTTTGATTCTCGTATATATTTTGTTCAGTTAACAGTACCAATCACTCTCTTCAGCTGTCCATTTGCCATAAATTCTCCAGTCTTTGTGGAAATCACTAATTGTCTCAACAGGAGTTATGCTTCCAATGTTTCTTCTGATTCATTTAAGGGACACACATATGCAACCATGAGAATTATCACCATCCGATTTGAAAGTGGGGTGTACTGTAGACCTCATCTCAAAGACTTCATGGCATATTCAGGATGCAAATGCCAACATTTCTATTTTAAGTTTGCATAATGCTTTGGCATATGGATTTGAGCTTTCATGGTTTCATGACGTTTATTGCGGCAAGTGCCCCGATCCAGATCTATGTGAAGGGGAAAATTCAAGTGATGTTCATTGTTTGGATTTCAGCAGCAAAGCTAACAATTTTAGATTCTTCAAAGCGTCCTGTTGTAAGAACATTCCCAATGTCATACTTAGAATATAAGACATGACTGTTAGCAGTTATTCTGTGTAAATCTTAACTGTTTTCTTTCTTTTTCCGGTTCGGTATTTTTTCTTTGGATGATCACAATCAAGATTACCACGTTCTTGATAGTAAGCAGTCGTACTTCTATTGTCAATTCTGTTTTATATAACAGTAGCTAGTTGCAAGTTAGATTAACTGTGTTATTGATTCATGGTGTTCTTGCAGCAATCATTACATGGATACCTCCCATAGCTGGTAAGCCACATCTTTCGTCTTTCAAATATATTA